GTACAAATGGTTTTTCATACATTCAAGACTTTTTGATCAAAATGTAGTAGTGACCTTAAAGGTTAACATTTTTCCATGATTTTACTACTTGAATTGTTTTCCAGCCAGAAGCAATGCTAATTTAGGTGGGTTAAAAGTGCAAGTAGCTGCCCACCTTCTTGGTCATTATTATGTTTTCTGTGGTTCAGAAGAATGTACAAGAGCACTTGAACTTTTAAACAGGGACTTTGTAATGATCAATTCCCCAGGAGGTGATCCCTTCAGCAATACTAGAAGGAAACTAGTCCTTGAATTAAATAAAATGACATTTTGCTTTGCATTTGCATGTGTTTATGAATTTTATTGGTTGATCTATGAAGTCTTTGGCAGATACTGTAGCATGGCATCTCTTTAACATGGGGGAAGTAGTTTTAGATTCTTATCTATCCAGAATATTTTTGCGGGGTTTCATAGGGTAATGAAGTGTCTTTTCACCACTCTTTAAAATGTAATACTGACCATTACAACAGCACAATTAATAATGTGGTTAAAGTGAAGGAATTTTCCACAAACAAGGAGGATTAGTTTGTGGACACTTAAATTTGATGGAGTTGGGGAAGGTAGAAATTAGTTGTGGAATAGTTCAGGGACTGGATGGTGTAGGACTGATTAAATAAAGCTGAATCCACTGCGGTTTCTGCAGCAGTGCCAATGCGTTTCAATGAAGATTTCAGTCCCTTCTGTTAGAGCTTGTTTTAAACCGCCTTAGTGGTATACGGGAAAATGAGTACATGTGTCATTGAATGCCACAGCACTCCACAGGATTGGGTTCCAAACAGCTAACCCACTGAGATGTCTAGGGTGTCTATACAAAATGAAAGAAGCCTGGGTAATCAAGAAGTGAAAGTCACTTTGTATACACAATGCATGCCAAATGACAACCTTGCTGCTCTAGCAAATGTGGGAGTGTAAAAAAAAAAAAAAAAATTAAAACAAATACAGGTTTAGAAAGCTGTAATGTATACAGGAAAGACCTGTTTTTGCACATCGTTGTACAAAGACAGTGAAATCTTGCGCCTATGAAGCGTGCTGCACACGATGGAGGAATCCACACACACACACACCATTTCAAAGAACCACGGCTACTCCAAAGGAATTGTTCCTTTTGAAGTGCCAGGATACAGTGCCTTAAGTAAAAAGAAAAGGAGGACTTGTGGCACCTTAGAGACTAACCAATTTATCTGAGCATGAGCTTTCGTGAGCTACAGCTCACTTCATCGGATGCATACCGTGGAAACTGCAAAGACATTGAATCCAATCTCCCTGGAAATGTAGAGGATGCGCCAGTGGAATAGTAAGCCACAGTTAGGGTCCCAGAAGTGCCTTGGTTGTAAATCAGGTACTAGTGGTTGCAGTACAACCATGTTCTCCATTTTTTTTTAAATGGAGCAATAAAGGCAAGTAAATTTGAATGAACTTAATGAAGCAGAGTGATAGCCACGGGCAGTAGGATGGCTGGAATCACTTAAAATCTAATAAAAAGAAAAGGAGTACTTGTGGCACCTTAGAGACTAACCAATTTATTTGAGCATAAGTTTTCGTGAGCTACAGCTCACTTCATCGGATGCATTCAATGGAAAATACAGTGGGGAGATTTATATACTCAGAGAACATGAAACAATAGGTGTAACCATACACACTGTAACCAGAGTGATCACTTAAGGTAAGCTATTACCAGCAGGAGAGCGGGGGGTGGGGTGGGGGGGACCTTTCGTAGTGATAATCAAGGTGGGCCATTTCCAGCAGTTGACAAGAATGTCGGGGGGGGTGGATAAACATGGGGAAATAGTTAAAATCTAATGTTTCCATTTTAACACACACTTCTCATTCCCTGAAGTTTTATAGTTTTAAGGAGATTGGTGTGGTGACAGCAGGGGCTCTTTAACCCATAAGAGGAGAGCCTAAAAAGTGAAAATAAAAGAAGTGTCTTTTGAGGCATGGGTACAGAGGGAGTTCAGGGGAGAGGCTCAGCAGGGAAAATTTTTTACGTTTGCGAACAAATTATATATGTAAAAAGAAAAAAACACCTTACATTTATTAGAGAAACGAAGTTTGAAAGACCTCCAAGCAGAGGACCGTACACCAGGAACTCCAGATTTCTAATCTCAAATCCGTGGTCTGAGCAAGTCAGTGCTCTGTGCCTTAGTTTCCTCCAAGCAAGCCTTAATTCCCCTCTCACAGGTGTGCTGGGACTAGGCAACATGCAGAGCTCTGGGGGCAGGAAGTGCTGTCGAAGTGCGAAACAGTCTTTATTTAGGAGAATATGGAAGAAGTTAGGGCCACTCTTGGATAAAGAACAAATTTCATGGAAAAATAAACGTAGTAGCCACCTACTTTTCAGCTTGGGTTTTTATTAGAGAGTGACCAAGAAAATGAGTTGAACAGCTGTGCTAGAAAAATTGCAAAATCCTGGGGAAATGAAATCTGTTGAAAGAGGAACATGTATACTTTAGGTCTACATACTAATATAATCCCATGTGAGAGCTAGGAATTAAAGGAATTACTGCAATTTTATGGTCGCTTCAGACAGTGATTCTGCCATTGTATAATGCACAAAATTATAGGGCCTGCCCCAAAAGAGTTTATTAGACAATGAACTTGCCACATTTATGTATTACATGCAAGTTTTCCACGTCCCTAATAACCCACAGTGGACAAGTGTAGTCGGGAGTTTTCAAAAAGGAAGTCCTACAGCATTGTATGCCAACTACCTGCAGTCTGTCACAGGTTGAGCTGCCCTTTAGAGGGTTCAGATTTCAGCTCTCAGATGTGCTTGGTCCCAGGCTGAGACCCAGGTCTTTTGGGGGAGATATGAAGTCACCCGTCTTCTATAGGGGGAAGAGCTGGTAGGAACAGAATAAGATGAAAGATTGGCTGTGGTTCCTTTCTGCCAGAGAACCAGTGAAAGAACCCTGGATGGAAGAAGCTAGGAAAGGGCCAGAGGAGGCCAGGAGCTAAGTTAGAGAAGTACTCTGGGGAGCCAGAGAAGAGAGCCTCAAGAGCAATAGCCACCACAGAAATGGCTCTGGGAAACCATTGAGAAGGGCAGCCTTGGGTTTAGGGAATCATGTTGACTGCAACTTGAGGGCAGAGTAAAAGGAGGGTCCAGACTTCTGGGTAGTAACCGCTAGAGAGGTGGTAGTGGAAACCCAGGCACCAGGGCACCCAGGCCTGTGAGTTGCCTCCTGTCTCCAAGGTGTGGGAGTCTTGCCTGTACCTGGCTGGGTGTCCGCTCTCTAACACCACCAGCCTTTCAACCACAAAGCGCTCTCCTCTGGGACATACCAGCCCTTACGTTGCTTTGTAGGTTAACAATTAATGCCCCCCAATCCCTGAGTCCTTTTGAATCATTCCTCTTTGATAGCCAGCCCCCGAGTTGGGCTAATTCCCAATCCTTTGCCCCCCAGAGGTACAGTGTACCCCATTTTTATCTTAAACCACCACCACTGTAAACCACATTGAACTTGTGAGCACTTATAAAAGTAGGTTTAGTCAAGACAGCGCGGTTACTGCTGGGCTGGTGTCGCAGAGATAAGGGGCAGCCCCTAGGCGGTGGCTGGTGAGCAGGAATCTGGGTAGTTGCAGGAGCCAAAATCAGTAGCCCAAGGTCAGGGTCAGAGAACGAATTTCAGTAGTCACCAGGCTGGAGTTGGGAGTCAGGGTTGAAGTCAGTCTGGGATCAGAGCAAAACAAGGTGAGGTCTGGAGCCACAGCAAGCCAGAAGTCTTATGTGGTTGCCCAGATGATTTTCTGCAGCATCTTCCAGGGTTAAATAGTAAGCAGTGGGCCCATCCGAGGCTGTGGGGTGCTGTCACTCTGGCCACTTTAGGCATTGCGGGAAGTAACACCCAATCTCCACAGGGCTCCTTCGATGTGGCTAAATGTGGCCTTCCACTGGCAATGTTGGGAGCATTCACTGCCCCAAGCTGCACAGACCTGGGTTCTAGTCCTGCAGCTTCTTAAATTACACCCCCGTCAGGGGCACCTTTCCTCTGGTTTGGCACCAGGCCTGCTTTGTCTTAATGAAACCAAGTCAGGGGCATGGGTAGCAGGTTCCCAGGAGTGCACTTTGGGATGATAGCCTTTCCAATCTAGAGATTGTACAGTCTCCCCCTTTGCAGTCTAGAGTGGAGGATAGTTTGGACTTCTATATTCCTTATGCCTTTGGACCTGGTCCAGTGGGAGCTGGGGAGACAGAACTGATGGGGGATTGGGAGGTGGCAGATGGTGGGGGGGCAGAGGCATGCAGAATTAATTGCTGAGCAAGGAGATGGGCAGATGTGGGGGTGAGAGCTCCTGCAGTGGTGGCCAAAATCACCTTAATAAATTTGAGGGATTCAGCAGCACTAATTGTCTCTGACGCTGAGGTGTGGTGTGGCAGGGGAAGTTCAAAAATCCAGACAAACACTATATATATATTTAATCAGGAAAAACCTCAAGATTTGGGAGCCAATGTCATGATTTTTAAGGGTCTGACACGATTTTTGAACCTTTGGGGTTGGCAGTACTGCAGTTAAACGGTCGGTGGATACACATGTCTGGCTCTGAATACGAACTCTTTGGTTAACAGCAGCAAACATTTGCTATCTATGCTATTAGATATCAAAGCCAGATACCGACAGCGACTGTGTTCTCTAAGAGCATAGCCAGGAAATGGGTCTCTACCTGATCCCTTTTTGAATCTTGCTGAGTTCTTGGCCTCGGCAACATCATGTGTCAGTGAGGTACGCTTTGTGTGAACAAGTGCTTCCTTGAGTTTTGAGTTGTCCATTTTTTAGTTCCCTCGAATGTCTCCTTGCTCTTGTGTTTTGAGACCCAGGGAACAGAGGCTTTTGATCTACCTTCTTTAGACCATTTGTATTTTATATACCAATGTTAGTCTCCTTTCTAAGGTAAACAATCCCAGCCTTACAATCTCTTCACGTGATTTTTTTTGGTTTCTCTACTCATGGCAGCTAAGATTGCCACAGGAGGGAGAGGGAGTGTATGAGCGTGAGTGAGAGAAAGAAAAAGAGAAGCAGGAAAATGCAGAAGAGGAGCAGCTCCTGAATGAGACCTTGAAGGAGCACCCAGTAAGGTAAGAGGAGACCCAGGAGAGAACTGCACTTTGCTAGTCGAAAGCCTTTTCATCCTCTGGTGATTATAACTTCCTAAACTGCCCCATGCGACAGTCACTCAACCCCCATCAGACCCTTAAGTTACCACTGTGATGTACCAAAGTTGCACTGACTGAAGAGTGAGAACCCAAAGGCCTCTCTATTTTCCAGGGTCAGATCCTCAGCTGGTGTAAATTGTCACAGCTCCATTGAATGGACCTATGACAACTTACACCAGTTGAAAATCTGCCTGTAGGTCGTCTGCTTGGTAGCATCATTGAGCTTTCAACATATTTTAGTTGAATAGCAGGTGTGTAGCTGATGGACCAAAAATGCACTGAAAATGACCTGAAGAAGAACTTTGTAGCTTGAAAGTTTCTCTTTCACCAACAGAAGTTGGTCCAATAAAAGATATTATCTCATCCACCACCTCTCCCTAATATCCTGGGACCAACAATGCTGCAACAGTGCAAACTGAAAATGAACTGTCAAAGGAGCATTTATACGATAGTCCAATAGCCTGTTGTGACACATTTTTCAAGTGGGTTTTGACACAAGTCATTTTAGCCCCTAAGTGCATCTCTTACTGTCTTTACTAGCTAGGTTCATCTGGTTAGTGTGGTCTCTCTGAAAGTGCTAAAATTGTGTAGGAAATGGTAAAACATAATGTAGTGTTTACGGGTTATAAATAGGCTTGGAAAAATTAATTTTTTTTCAGAAAACATTGGTAAACTTCGATTTCCCCATAAACGCACATTGATGAAAAAGTGCATTTCGATTGACGATGGGATTTTGATCATTTGTGTTTTAACGCTTACAAAGCTTTAACTTTCTGAGTCTCAATGTCTGCTGCTGTTAAATAAATATTACGACCTTCCTGCTCATAATTCACACAACTGCGAAATTCAAATGGGTAAAATAATCTAACAAAACCTGCTTAAAGCCCATAATTTTGTGCACTTGTGAAAATTTAAATTGATCAAAATAAACATGGATAGTATCGATTGAAATTATTTAAAAAAAAAAATTCTGTCAAGCTACTTTAAACAGTTGGCATAGACCTATATACTCTTACAGTCAAGTTTAACATTTCCCAAACGAGTGATTCTTTTATTATATTTTTTTTAGAATATTTCATTTAACAAGGATAATCCATACAAATATGAATGTGGTGTGACATGTATGTGTACATGTTTGTAGCAGTATATATAACCTCTCAAATTATGTTAAAGGAACTGTAAAGTTGCAAAGTGAAGCATTCAAAAGTTAAGAAATGCCAGATTTAAGATTAACCATGCAAGAGTTGTTCCCGTTGGGCAAATTCATTTTGACACAGTCTTTAGTTACATAATCTTATACTATTTTTTCCCCAGGACCCCTGCCTCATTCAGTGCAAAGGATGGAGCGTGCTCACTGAATGGGTAACTATGCAATATTTCTTTTTTATCTTCTTTCAGCATGGGGCCCCATACATTACTTACAGCAGACGATTCAAATGAATGCAGATAGAAAAGCCCATGAGGAAATTAATCTATAGTGCCCCATCATAGTATCTTAGTTCTTTACAAGCATAAATGAATTCATCTTCACAGCACCCTTGAGACAAGAGGGGGTATTATTACCATTTTACCCATAGGGAATCGAGACAAAATTGTCCACAGCATCTGCTATTTTAGGTGCCCAATTTAAGAAGCCTGGGGCTTGATTTTTTTCAGAGTACTTAACATTTTACAGCACTTTATATGTTCAGATCACAGCTCCCAATGACCACAGTTGCAAGTGCTCAGTACTTCTGCAAATCAGAAGATAAGGCATACACCGATTACCTGTGGAGATGGTGTAAATGACATGCCCAGTATGACAAAGGAACTCTGTGGCAGAGGCAGGGGTAGAATCCAGTTTTCCAGGATGTCATTCAGCAGCCTTAATGACAAGCATCCTTTCTCTTTCTGCAGTTCCCCAGGTCCCTGCTTCATTCACCATCCACCTTCCAGCTTTTGCACTAAACGAGGCAGAGATACTGCAGACAACAACCTTATTAATTGCACAGCCCTAATTCATCCCCAGAGCAGATCTATCCCAGGCACTGTGTGTGGCGGGGAGTCTCATTGAAAAATACAGTATGTGATTAAAATGTGATCTTGTAATTACTATATCACAATGCATATGCACAAGGGGGCTCAATTTAGATTGCACATACATCTGGCATTTCTTAACTTCTAAGTACATGACTTTGCAACCTTAATGTTCTTTTAGTGCAATTTTTAATGTAATTTTCTACATTAAAAGCATTTTTGTTTTTTCAATTTTTGTTATATGCAACAAATTGAAACACCCCCCCCCCACACACACACACACACTCAGCAGAAGCAGCAGGGTCAGGGCCTTTAGATCCACAGTACAGTCCTCTATCACTTCAACTAATGAAGTAACTAGTAGCAGTTGTAAGCTGTTATCTTCTATAAGAAAGGGAACAAGAGACTTTGACAGTGGCATTCACAACTGTTTGGTAGACAATATGGAATGTTTAGACTCAGGAATAATGGGTTCAGCGACAGGTCCTGTAAGGCCATGCCCGATAGTGGTTACAGGCCCTTCTGCCTCTGTACCCTCCCTTGCTGCTATCCCCTCTGGCTGCTAATTCCCATTCTCCCCCACCCCAACTTTCTGCTCCCCTCTGTCTATCTCCCCTGCCTCTCCCACCCCCACATGTTCCTCACTCCTCTAAATTCCAGGCAGGCTGCTCCCTCCTCTTCCAGGCCACAATGCTCCCTAAGAGCATCCAGCAATTGAAGAGAAAATCCTGCCCCGTTCGGGAACATGCTTAGTTGCTCTGTGGGCATGGTGTATTTATAATCTGGTTGGCACCTTGAAGCTGTGACGGGGGCCTGGAGCCTGCCCAGTGCAGATGGAGTCTTCAGAGAATTTAGCTTGCCAAACTCTCAAAAGTCTCTGCTGAGCAAGTGTAAACTGAGATTTTTTTCAGAGTCTTAAAAAATAGGCAAATTTAGATGTGATTTCACAGGGACAACAAAAGGCACATATCTGACCCCAGGGCAAGTACCTGCTGTAAAGCATGCAGATGCTAAAACTTCTCAGCTAAAATGGTTGTAAGAGGTTTTTTGTTTAACATGGATAAAACAATGTATTTTTTCCTGAACCGCATTTTGAGAGATGATTGAATTGTTTGAGCCAAAAATTTCCTTTACAACAGGTGGGTGGGAGGCAGGGGGGAATCAGCCAGAAGCAAACAATCAGCATTAGAAAATTACAGCCTGAATGATTTGTCTGGCAAAGTTATAAGCAACTGAAAAGAAGATCTTATAATGGAAAGTGGTGGGTAACCTTACCTATAGGTAGCGCTACCTTCATTGCCTAGTATGATGGGTAATGGAATTGACAAACATGCTAAGTCTAATAACAAATCCATGAGTTCAAATGTCATTGAATTTGCAGTCTGTTTAGGGCAAACGAGGAGGGGAAGCAGAAGCGAATACAGACAGCCTACGAAGAAAGCAACAGAGAGAGAGAGAGAAATTCTAATGGGAGTAAATCCCCTGTATGCTCTCTTTTGTTAGAATGGAAAGCACCTAGTACATTGTGGGAGCTACTGCAAACATAAGGTGACACCTTGAAGTTCTTGCACACATGAAAAATAATTATCAATAAGGTTCACACTTGTGCAAATCTGGCTCTGACTGGGGTGATCATGAGGTTCTATCCTTAATACTCAGCAAAATAAAAAAAAAACCTCTTTTCTTAAAAAATGAATTGTTACTCTTGGGGGAAGGAACGTGATTTTAACTTTATGGGGGAAAGATTTGTGGGCGTGATGTGATTTGTACACATACACAAAATCGTTTGCAGTTATCTAGACCTTGAACTCCTCCAGGCTTGTATTTATTTCACACATTAACTATAAAAACCTGTAGTCTAGGCTGTAACAACACACACAGCCAGAGGGGAAAGGAATGGGTCTTTTCACTCTGATTTTGTATGATGCCAGATTGTGACACGTTTCAGTATTCATCATGATGCCTGTTCTTAAATTAATTTGCAAATGATAATGTCAAGTTGAACTTTCACACATTCCTTTTAATCTCCATAAGGTTAAGGTCTCTGCCCTGATTGATTTGTTGCTGTTTTTCACAACCCAGGAGTTTGTATAGCGAGTGTCAAGAGCAAACTGAATGGCTTAAGACAGCCTTAAATGTGAGAGATGCGAGTGACACTGCTGCTCTATAGCAAACTATAAGCCTGGGTGGGGAAATCTTTAATATGCAAACTAAGCAAGCCAGACATCAGGACAATAGAATTATATAATCCATTTTCAGAATGGCCAGCTGTTCCATTAGGAGGCTGCTCAGTTCCCCACTCTTCTCTTTCCCCCAATGATAATTATGCAAATGAGTGGTGAGGCAGGAAGCCAGCTGGGCTACCAACTGAAATATTAAGCTGTGCTTTGTAACTTCAGACTCCTTATTAGCAGTGCTACTTGTAGAGCTGCAAACTGTATGATAGATGTCTCTGGATGGGGCTTGCCATTTGCCTTAACTTACCATCAGCCCACCCAATGCTGTAAACACAAAGTTTGTAAACTGTTCAAAGCAAAAATGTTGTATCACCTCCACGCGCCTCAAAAATGTTTGTTGTCAGAAAATCCTTTCACTGTGTCGAGAAAAATAATCCACAACCAAAAGAATCATGGTGTTGGTACAAACGGTCAGAACGCAAGTTGAGTGCACAATTAATGGACTCACATTGCACCATTGTTTCATCCTCTGCCAGTTTAAGCTACTTTTACTATGCTGTGTGTGTCTCTGTCCCCCGATTTTTGATTCATGTTCTGGATTTGGGTGCTGCCTGGTTGAAATATAAAAGTATAGATGTTGTTTTAGTTTGGGCAAGACAATTGGGTGGCACATTCAGGAAGAGGGTATGCTGTGTCTGCGAATAGCGCCCTTTGTCAGTCCCCTTTGTCAGAAAAAGACAGAAAGAAACTGTATTAACACACATGCACACCTTCCTTCCAGGCCTTTTGTAAACATGAGAAAGAAACTAAAGGAGGTACAAGTCTAGTGTTGAAAAAAATTCTTTGCCAATCACCTTTAAGAGCCCATGAGTGTGGCTCCAGAATTCTCTGGAGAAGGATGTCAGTGCTCAGGCATGTACTTGCAAGGCATTTCCTTCTTGACTACCTGGTGTTAAGAATGCAAGCTCTGCAATCATGCCCCATACGAGAATGAGGACCCTGCTCTCCTGTCCAGCGATACAGAGCCTGGGCACTTCGTACGTTTAAGTTTCTATGGAAGAGGTTTTTCAGTACATCCTGAGGCCCCTAAGTGATCACTTTCTAAAACCATTTCAAATAAATATGGTTGGTCATGGATGTGCTATAGGCCTCTTTTGCTTGCCTTCCATTAAATTTGTTCATCTCCTTCCTCCACGCTCCCCATTTTTAATATTTGATAGGTGTCCACAGCCTTTTAGGTGCTGCATGCGACACTAAATATAATCACAGGGAGATGGGTTATAGGAGAAGCCAGGTGCTTCAAGGTGGGTATCGCTGGAGGAACAAAAGGGGCACAGGGTGATGCAATAAGGAATGAGGTCAGGGTTGTAGATTGGAGCAAAGCTATGTGGGAACTTTGCAGTTTGGTGTCCCCTATCCCTGTGCTATCAATAGAACAAAAGAATGGCCACACAGGGTCAGATCAATGGTCCATCTAGCCTGGTATCCTGTCTTCTGACAGTGGTCGGATGCTCCAGAGGGAATGAACAGAACAGGGCAATTATCAAGTAATCCATTCCCTGTCATCCAGTCCTAGCTTCTGGCAGTCAGAGGTTTAGGGACGCCCAGAGCATGGGCTTGTGTCCCTGTCCATCCTGATTAATAGCCATTGATGGACCTATCCTCCATGAACTTATCTAGTTCTTTTTTGAATCCTGTTATAGTCTTGGCCTTCACAACATGTCCTGGCAAGGAGTTCCACAGGTTGACCATGCGTTGTATGAAGAAGTACTTCCTTATGTTAGTTTTAAAACTGCTGCCTATTAATTTCATTGGGTGACCCCTGGTGGTTGTGTCATGTGAAGGGGTAAATAACACTTTTTTCCCACACCACTCATGATTTTATAGACCTCTATCATATCCCCCCTTAGTCCTCTCTTTTCTAAGATGAACAGTCCCAGTCTTTTTAATCTCTCCTCATATGGAAGCTGTTCCATACCCTTAGACATTTGGTTGCCATTCTCAGTTCGTTTCCCAACTCCAACATATCTTTTTTTGAGATGGGGCAACCAGAACTAGGTGTGGGTGTACCATGGAATTATAAAGTGGCTTTATGATGCTTTTTATCTTATTATCTGTCCCTTTCCTAATGGTTCCTAACATTGTTAGCTTTTGTGACTGCGGCTGCAC